GACTCTGGAAGATACGTATGTGATGTTTTAAAACCTCATTCGAGCTTCAGATAAACATCTTTGCACAATAAGGATTTTGGGTTTTGTCCCCCATCTCTTCCACTGGCAGCGAATTATGAACGGGAGGAACAGCAAGCAAAAACCTGACTGTTGTTTTCAGGCAGACTCTGTCCCTTCATGGCTCATAACTAGTTTAGCAAGTGAAAAGAAATGCATGCATGTAAACACATTCCCAGCAGCTGATTTCATGTCTGTAAAGTGACCATGAAGAGAAAGTCAGGACTGAAGCTCCCACAACTTCATCTGGAGACGCACTCTTAAACAAAAAGCTCCCTGTCATGGAAAAAATAATGACAACAAACTTTATTAGCAGGAAATCTAAGCACCAACACATCAATCACCACAAACAAAAAAACTAAACTTAGAATTAGACATTTTTTATATAAATATATATTAATGTATAACACGTGTTTAGCCATTCCCAGAGCAGAATAAAGTAGAGTTACATCTGTCTGACTGTGTAAACCTTCCCAGACTCATGTTGTATTGTAACTGGTAAATTCACTCACAGTTAATCTTCCTCTACAACTATTATTGCCTCATTAAACTACAGCCTCATTTATCTAGCAGTGTTTCCACTGATGGTGCAGCAGCAACTCTCTTGCACAGTGATGATGTACTGCATCACCTGCCGCTCAAACTGCATGATTAACAAAGAAGCCTCCTCCTCACCATATTAGAGATTATTGATCGATCCACATCCACTCCCATCTTCTTTTTAATCTGCACTGACCATTAAAAAATCAACCAAATGCAGATGGGATGTCCTGGGCCAGTATCAGTGTGTGCGTAGGAAAGTCAGGTCAGGAAAGTGAGATATGTTGCTGTAAAATTTGACCTTAATGTCACTGTATTGTATCAAAAATAAGACTGTGTGCAAACCAAAGAAAAACTGATTTATAATCTGGTTTATTGATTAGTCAGTTCCTGATTTCAGCTCAAACAAACCAGTTTTATCAGATGGAGAAACTTTTAAACTGCAGTTCTTTAAACCAGGGAGATCGTTTGCTAATCAGATTGTTAAAGATTGTTTTAAAACTAAAACATTTAATTAAATCATAGCATTATACTAAATGACACAGAGTCACATGACAGGAAGTAGACACCAAATAAAGTTTCAGTTCAGTTTCTTTCTGTATGTCGCTCTCTCTCCTTCCCTCTCAATCGCAGCATAACAAAACTACAGTATTGTTTTGGTATCAGCTCCTGAGACTCAGACATGATGAAGTAAGAGAAATAACCTTTTATAGTAAGAGCTGTTTTTAAAACTCACTTCTCAGTTCATTCCTCAGAAACACAGTTTAGACATTGAACTTGGCGTGTGACACCTAAATGACCATCAACTGGTTTAAACAACGGCCCCATGGGTAACACAGCCGAAAGAAGTCGCCATCAGTTTTACTCCCCACCCCCCCTATAGGACAAAGGAGGAAGCCCCGGGGGCAAAGGGTGTCGTGTCTTCCCAGTTATTCCCAGCTTCCAGCCCAGACCCTCCACTGCACACTCAGTGTTTAAAATGCTTCTTCTGATGAAGCAGACGTTTGAGAGGAGGAGGTCAGAGGAGAAACAAGAAAGGGGAATATTAGAGTGTTTTCAACTTTCTTTTTAATGTGCTCTGATTTGTTAATATTTAAAATCATCAATCAAACATTTGTCGTTAAAGATTCAACCTTATTCTCAACCCTCACCTTGACACTTGCAAAAGGGGTTTATCAGAGACGTTTCACCATTTCATTGTAGCTGTCGTTCCCGGGCTTCAACACAGAGGAGGAGAGAGGAGCCGGGAGATACTGATGGAGGGATTTGTATATGCTGATCAGGACCCCCTCTTCTCTTTCTCTGTCCTTTTTTTATGGGGGTGGGACTGAAATCTGTGAAGTTCAGGGTCAGTGGTCCTGCTAAACAATAGCATGGGAGGGCTGGGAGAGTAGCTCAAGCTGCCCCCCCCCCCACCTTCATCTGCACATCCATCCTCCTCACCTCTGGCTCTCCCATGACCCCTGAGGGCCTCGGGGTTACGAGCACATGGTGCCAGGGTGGGTGGGTTGGGGGGGGGTTTCTGGACAACCCCCTCCTTTTTAAAAAGAATCTCATTATGGTCCTGCCCCTATATTGAAAACGGTCCAATCTCTAATGCTATGCACTTAATCACACCCCATGCAGGTTCAGCTCGTTTGACCTGACGGTGGCTCAACGCAGACAGACAGAACACAAACATCTTCTTCTGTTCGACAACAGGCTGCAAACACTCACAACAACACAAACAGGAAGTGTTTCCAGGGGACTCTAAACAGTGATGAACCCGGCTGGGACGCACTTGTTCAATGCTTTGTGACGTTTAAAGTTAAAAACATTGAAAAACAAGAGCACACGGATGTTTTTATAATATAGGTTCATCACTGTTTAGTGTCCCCTGGAAACACTTCCTGTTTGTGTTGTTGTGAGTATTTGCAGCTCGTGTGAAGATGTTTTCTGAAGTTGCAGTGTGTTGAACTCTCAGGGACAAAGTTCAAATTTTTACTTGAGTTAAAGTCCTGGAGTATTTGTCATTTTGGTCGTGGTAAAAACAAACATTTCAAATGAAAGTAATATTTCTTTATTTCTGAAACTTCAGATGAGGATCTGTTTTTCTCCTGTGATGAACACAGCGTACGGCCCGTTGCATTTTCAAAATAAAATAAAATTCATTCCTCTGACTAAAAGCTGCTTCAAAGTAAGAGTACTTCATATAAAATGTAGTCAAAAGTAAAACATTTGTCTTTTAAGTGAAGAGGAGTAAAAGTCTCACTGAGTCTCACTGGATTTGAGGCTTCAGGCTAGAAACAAGACGAGGGATTGATCCCATGTCAGTGTCAGTGTGTCAGGGCACAAATCTCAGAGGTTAACTCAAAACTGCTGCTGAGCAGCTTATTTGGTGAACCAGAAATAAAAGAAGCATGAGAATAGAATTAAAAAGCACAATAAGAAAACAGTATAAAAATAGTTTAATAACAGATAATAAAATGGATAATATCTCATTAAACTGCAAAATTAAAAGATGAAATGAAGGCAGAGGAGAACAGAGCAGTTTTTAAAGTCATAACTGGCAGATTAAATCTCCAGAACGAGCTGGTTCCAGCAGCGGACATGAACTGAGCAGCTGCTGCAGATCTTACAGACCTGTTCATAGACATGGAACATTTCTGAAATGACCATTTAGTGACTTTAGTGATAGTGACTTATAGACGCAATAACATTGGCATGTTAACTTCAGTTCTGTCACTTGAAGTTATGTTACCTTAACCACCTGAGGTCCAAGGGCAGTTTTTCCATAATGAGGCCACTTTTTGACCCTCTGTGCAAAAAGATCCTTTGGCCCAAATGCTGAAAAACTGAAACCCGGTTTTTAAAATTCTCCAAATTACTGATGTGGATGAACTGAAATGTGTTCACCCAAGTCTTAGGTTCATAAAAAAATAGAGCAATAAATGAGTGAAATAGTAGATAAATGTTAAATAAATGCCTAAAATTAGATTTTGTAATATTATTAAGTCGAAGCGCTGACTGTCACTCTGCTTTAACTGAATGTTAGAGGCCTCCCAGCTCCAGCACTGAGTCATGTACAATCTCACAAGAATATGAAACAGAAAGTGGAGAGTCGACAGATTTTAACAACATTTAAACCATATTTTTGCGCCGTATTATCACAAAGATATTAACAGAAACATCCGTCGACCTCAGAGGGTTAAATCCCGTTTCCTTATCCTACATTTCCTGAAGTCGAGCCACGGCCTCTCACACCTTATGTTTTCTAATGATAGTTCTTTACTCTGGTATTTGGTCAAAGCTGAAACTACAAAACTTCAGTCATCCTTCAGTGTGAGCTCAGTCCTCTGCCTGCTATGCATGCAAACCTTTAGGCCTAGCAGTTAGCAGCACCATGTGTTTGATAACCATGGCCACAGAATGCAATACAAGTTCCCCCTTGGGAACCCTGAATTTCATTACCAGGCCTGGGGGATGAGCCGCTCAGAGGTTGCAGGGCTCTATCAGCCTGTCCAGACATGGCTGGCCAGTACCTCTCTGCTGGTTGCATCTGCTGGGGGGAGAAGGGTGTGTGTGTGTGTGTGTGTGTGTGTGTGTGTGTGTGTGTGTGTGTGTGGTTGGGGGGGGGTTCTCATTAGAAGGAAGGCAGATGCTCATTTCTTGTTGTGACACATCCGTAAAGCCAATAACAGATCATGAGGACAGGGAACAGCTCTGTTGTATGTTATATTCTATAAGAGACTCTCTGTAATCTGATCAAACATGAAGCTGCTCACATTCAGAGGAACTACAGCCGAGTGCTGTGATGTCAAAACATCAGCCCACACCACTGAGGACCCGGCAGGTTAACCACAGAGCAGTTCTGCATAATTGAACTGTTTTACTTCATTTGCTCGTGCACATATTTTCTCACATTGAAGACGTGCAGGAAGTTCTGACTGTTTGTCTCTGACATTTCTGCCTCCACTTTTCTAGTTACCACTAAAGTTAAGTAAGAAAAGAAGTAGAAAACAATTATTCATTCTGTTTCACAACAAATTTCATCCCCCTCGTACAAAAACCATCCAACGTTATTGGTTCCGCTCTCGTTACTGAAGAGATTCGGAAAATAGATTTCATATTTGTTATTTCAAATACACAGAGGAAACTGCATATGGACGATGGTTAGTGATGAAAACAGACCGTTATCCAGCAGATTGTTCTGGATTTGTTCTTAAAATCAATCTGAACTGGACGGAGCATCATCTGAAGTGTCATTTAGAAATTCAGTTTTCAGCTCGTTAGCTTATATCATGTATAACAGGAATAACTACATGGACTCAAAGCTTTTTGTTTTGTAATCAGTGAGAAATCCTGTTGAATGATCGTGATCTAAATATTGATTGATTATGATTGTGATTATGATTTTTGCGATGATGGAGCAGCCCTGTGAGTAAGTATATAAATGTACTGACAGTGATGTTTAGCAGCAGCATCGTCCGACCTTCAGGGTGGAACTGAACTTCACTGGAAACTGAAACACACACAAAAAAAAAAGACCAAAGTCAAGTTCAGTTGCAAGCTGCTGTGTGTGGGATTGATGGCGCCTTGATGGTATATTTGGCCGGACAGATGCATAGACTCCATAGTAACACTGTTGAGGCATTGTCTAGTTCAAGTGCAACTTCCATTGTCACTGCTTCACAGCTGGGAAGGAGAAGCGGCTGCTGCAAAGAGTTCAGAGCTCTTTGCATATGAGAACATTAACACAGAAAAAAGACTGAAAGAAAATGAGGAAAGACTGCGAGCGTCACCAAGGTCAGGGAGGAGAGGGGGGCAAGGGTGACACGGACAGATCTGGTGGCATGGGAAAGTCACCCCAGAGCTGGATCTGAAAGGATGGGAAGAGACGGGAGGGGTGAGGTGTGGGGGGGGGTGGTGCATAACAAGGGGCAGATGGTGCCCTTGGGTGCATGGTGGCTGACGGGCGTTTTTACAGAGGTTACTGGGGGTTGGGTGCAAATAAGCATCGTCACAACACTATTGTCAAAACTGGTCCTGGCTTCAATGGAGGGTCTCCTAACTTGACCCTTGCCCGTCTTCTCCGCTCCAGCTTGGCTATTGTTGTTTCCCTCTCTGGCTGGATGGTTCGCCGGCATTCAGCCTCCATTGTGGCTCTTCCTCAGTGAAATCGTTATACGATGCAAAACCAAATGCGCCATCAATCAAACGAGGTGTTGAGTAAGGTTTTTCGGGCAACTGGGGACGGGGGTCCCGGAGGTCTCGGTGTCCGACAAAGACGCCTCCCCTGTGCTATTTTATCTGGAACCGTTGGATGTCTGTAGGTTTGAGACGAGATGAATCATTCTCCTTCGTCTTCACAGAACACTTTCCCACAAACAGCTCCCTCCCTGTTGATGCTAGTCTCATTCTTTGAATCTGACCGGAGTCTGAAGGTGTGTTTGGACTGAGGAGAGACTTTTCTCCAGTTTACAACAAACAGCCAGTTCACTGAGCACAGACCCCAACATGGTGCCGCCTCAGGCAGCAGGGTCAGGGTGCGTCTGTTTCAATTCAGTTTATTTGTATAGAACCAAATCTCTGCCTCAATGAGAGAGAGAGAGGAGCTCAATGCATCATGGGAGTCCCCCCCCCCCTGCAGCGTAACTAAGAGCTGGTTCAGGACTCACCTGATGCAGCTCTGACTATAAGCTTTATCACAGAGGACAGTTTGAAGCCTGATCTCAGGTGTAGAGAGGGAGTCTGCCCCCCCCCCCTTCTGCTCTTAGAACCTCTAGGAACCACAGTTCTCTGTTCATCTTTCTAAAGCGCATGTTGGCTGTAAAAACACATCCACCCTTCCATGTCTGAGTGTGAATGTTCTCCCTCTTCCTCCCGTGTGCAGGCGGCTGTCTGTCCTCGGAGCTGTCTTTCCTGGTGGAGCCCAGCGACGTGATCGCGGTGAGGGATCGCCCGCTCATGCTGGACTGTCGGGTTCAGGGCGAGGAACCCATCATGGTCACGTGGCGTAAAAACGGGGTGCCTTTACCCACCAGCCCGCGGGTTCGGGTGCTGGCGAATGGCACGCTGTTCATCCAGAGCTTCCAGAAACGCAGAGAGGGGAGCGACGCCGATATGGGCGAGTACGACTGTGCCGCCCAGAATCGCTATGGCTTGCTGGTCAGTCGCAAGGCCAAAGTCCTGCTGGCATGTAAGTATTTGACTGTGCTGCAAAACACAGTTACAATATACAACTTTACACTTTTTATGCCACACAAACAGAAGTAAAGATATTACACAGACCCCGAGGAGCAGAAGTGCTTTAGATTCAACACCACATCAACTGCACCAGCTGCTCCTTCTACCTGACACGTCTACCTGAGATCATCCATCAGGTCACACTGATCCGTTTGTGTAGTCAGGAGATGCTAACAGATAATTATGGGAACAAATCACATTTTCTTCTGTGGATGTCTGATACATTTACTATCAGGAAGTCACATTGAGTTCAAGATCTCGTTTATAAGTGAGACCTGAGTACAGAAAAATGAAGTAAATAACAAAAGAAATATTAATAGCAGAAATACAAACGATTCAAATATACATTCAGATATGTTTTCATACAAACAAGTGGACATGTCTTCATATAACCAGTGATCGGAGTGTATGTTTAAATACATTTAAATATGCATTAAGATGCACAACAACCAGGTAGACAATAAGAAGACGGCTTAAACGCTCATCACTTAGTAAGAAAAGAGATTAAGTAAAACAATTACACCTCAAGTCAGTAAAACCTCTGCTCAAAATGTAAATCAAAGTTTGAAGTAATTACTTGTTTTCCATTTATTGATGTTCATTGTGATAATGGGCCATTGAGTTTATTACTTGACTAATTATTGTTCTGCATGTTGTCAAACTGAAATATACTGAGCCCCCATCCCCCTGCTCAGCTCATCCTGGACAACAGCTGGATTTGATCAATATAATAAGTCTTTCCTTGTGAACCTTGATGTATTAGACCCTTGGTACTCTAACTACAGATGATAGCAGTGGCTCCATCTAGAGACGAACATGATAGAAGCTGAACGATGTCTCACAGTGGGAAGGTTGTTATGGCCTGAACTCCTGGAGTGTTAGTGAAGTTTAGCAAAACGAGCTGGAGAGAGAAAAATCTCCCTCACAGCTTTTACCTTACAACCTTTGGTGTGCATAATGAAGCTGTGATAATCACATCAGACACAGGGAGTCAGATGTGAGGGCTGCACACTCCCCAGTCCTGCTTTAATACTCACTTGAAGATAACAGTCATTTTCTCAGGAGTTTATTGGATGTCCCACAGACAGTCACCGCATGTTGCCTTTTCTCTGTCGTAACATCCCATAGTCTTTTTTAATAAATGACGCTTCACATTGTGAACAACTCTGCTTTATACTTGGCAACCCAAGCCCCCCCCCCTTGTTGTCAGAGGGAACAGGTGCCCAGATACAAACCTCTCACCAAAACATACCAGCTTCTCTATTATGGGAAACCAGTAAATTACACTGCGTGTACATTACTGCACATACATGTGCTCGACACACACAAACACACACCTGCACTACAATGTACAGGCTTCTCCTCACTACCCCCACCCCTTCACTCAGGCCAATAAAACCAGGGGTTTATGGGTAATCCAGGAGAATTAGGGGTACTTTGAGGTGGTCTTCCTTGAGTGCAATGAGTTGCCATGGTGATGCTCTCTCATTTGTAGACCCCTCCTCTATGCTGTACGCCCTTATTGATTATGGCCACCAGGTTATTAGGATTTGTGCTGTCCCTGTGTGTGTGTGTGTGTGTGTGTGTGTGTGTGTGCTGGAAGGGTTTGTGGATGAGTGGAAAGCAAAACTGTGCCTGTAAAGAATGTGTCATGATTCACCCTAACAAAGGCCACACATGATTTAGCTTGCTGCTTGCTCAGTAATTCATTAATCTCTACCAGCATCATAAACCAGTAAAACCAGTGAAGTGGTGTTGAATCCCTACCTTTGAGGAGGTCTAGAAGTCCTGATATCAGTCCATTTGTCCATTATTTATATGCCTTTGGTCCACAAGGATCCACTAATCACAGAATTCCAAGTTATGAATATCGCCATGAGAGCACTTCTCTCCACATTTCATCCATTTCTTTTTTCAGGCAAGGACAAAAAAAAACAAAAAAATACCATGTATGAGTTGATGTACTTTAGGTTGGGTTTTAGTCACATGATAAACAAGCACATTTTTCAGACACTAGAAGATGTTACCTTTCAGATGATGTTTCATAAATGCATCATTTGAATATGCAAATGTATGTAAATTGGGTGTAAAACATTAAAGCTGATCTCTGTGTGGTTTGCTTCTCAGCTCTTCCTAAGTTCCACACCCACCCGGTGTCCATGGCTGTGGATGAGGGAGGCGTTGCTCGTTTCCAGTGTCAGATCAACGGAGTACCTGAGGCCATCATCACCTGGGAGAGAGACAGAGTACCACTCAACACCACTGAAATTAGGTAACACCCAGAGACTGTATATAAAGACATAACCTCAATGACGTCATAGGATGAAGTACGGCCTTTACCTAATGTACAAATACAACAGTCAGCATGTCTCATAACCCATACGCAAATGTAATATATATGCACATATTTCCTTATGTGAAAAATATGTACATATGAAGTAAAAACATACACGTACATATATTTAAGAATAACATGAAACATATGTACACTGTTGCCCATAAAGTTGGAATAATTTTGTTTTCGGTTTAATTGTGGTTTAATTGTGGTTTAATTTTCATTGTGATATGTGTGGAAGAGATTGACTACTAAAGTTTTGAGAAGATACACACTTTATCTGTCAAGAATAAATCACATTGTCACAATCATTTCATGGAAAGAGGTAAAAAATATTTCATTCCAACTTTATGAGCAACAGTGTATATGTCCAGCTCAAACATATGTGTATGTTTATATATGTGTGATTATATTACAGACATGTGTTACGTAAATATATATCCATCCCAAAAATATATGTGATATGTTCATATATGTAAATAAATATATGTAAATGTAAAATGTTTCCACCATGAAAACGTCACTATTGGAATCAATCACAACATACATGAATGTAAACTATACATTCACACATTTGTTTAGAATATTTGTTTTGTTCAGCACATGTAACAGATTTCAGCGCCTCACCTGACCTCTGACCTCTCCTCCCCGTCCAGGTACACTCTGCTGCCAATGGGTATTCTCCAGGTGACAGGTGTGAGACAGGCAGATGCTGGGGTTTTCCGATGTGTTGCCGCCAACCCAGCCAACACTCGCTACAGCCATGAGGCCATGCTCAACGTCACGGGTAGGTGGACACACGTGTAGCGTGTAACATATAAGTAGTTAGAGAACGAATGGATGAACACGGATTAGGAGCCATGACAACAGGGCTGCTGTTGTTTTCTCCTTGTGGGTGTATGTCTGTGTGATCATGGCAAAATGTGATCCAGGAGACACCTTTTATTGAGAGGTGGTTTTGAGTACTATGGCAAGGTCTGTCTGTCTGTCTGTCTGTCTGTCTGATACAGGTAGGTTCAGGTAGATTTGGGTAGATACAGGTGAGAATGTGAAAAGACTGACGTGGAGACTGCAGGAACACATTACTCATCATCTCATCCACATTCACTTTTTGTCTTCCTTCATCTTCCCAGGTGGAGCTTCCAGAATCTACAAAGAGCCGTTCATCCTGTCAGGACCCCAGAATCTGACCCTCACTGTCCATCAGACGGCCATCTTGGAGTGCATCGCCACAGGAAACCCGAAGCCCATCGTTTCCTGGAGCAGGCTAGGTACCAGTGGGAAATCCTAATCGGATTTATATGATTGGAGGACGATTTGCTAAAAACACACGGCGTGTTTCTCATCTCACAAACCATCTCTGTGTGTCTGTGTGTCCATCAGACGGACGATCCATTGGAGTGGAGGGTATCCAGGTCCTGGGGACGGGGAACCTGATGATCTCAGACGTTTCCCTGCAGCACTCTGGTGTGTATGTCTGTGCCGCCAATCGGCCCGGCACCAGAATGAGGCGTACTGCACTCGGACGACTCGTGGTACAAGGTGAGGTCGTACACAGACTCCTGCACTTCACTCCATTCTCTACAGCTCAACAGTGGACGTCAGCGCTGACCGCTGCTGCACTGTAGTCTGTTCTGTTCTGGGACAGTTTGGGAAATACGCTGCGATCATATCTACATCAGATGAGAGGAACAGCCCACACACAAATTATGAGCATTAAATCAGAAACGAAGCACACCAGGTAGATTACGATGAGCTCCTCCCAGTTAGGAAAGCTGAGCGGGAACACCAGCAGAGTGATGTGTTGCATGTTTTACACACTTTTTTTAAAAACAGCCATCAAAACAATCCGATATCCGTTTAAATGAAGCTTCATGTAAAATACTTTCAGCGGTTTATCTTCCGGTGAAAACCGCACTTTCCTTCCTGATTCCCTCAGCTGACCTGCAGCAGCGGCGTGATACAGTGCGCTCCCTAGCTGCGCTTGTGCGTAGGAATACGGTAGTTCAGCGGATGAAAGAAGTAAAGTGCTGTTCTCGCCGGAAGATAAACCTCTGAAAGTATTTTACACAAAGCTTCATTTAAACAGATATTAGATTGTTTCGATGAGCGTTTTTAAGGTTTTTATTTTTTTTAACTACATTTTAGTCACATTTTTTTTATTGCACATAGATGTAGCCACAGTTATTTCTCCATCTTCTCCTGGAAAAAAAGGTTGTTGACGAACATAATTAGTGACATATCTGATCAAATTAATGCTGAGGTGGAGTCAGGGAGGGAAGACTGAGTAAAGACAGACTGAGGATAAATGAGTTAGTTACAGAAACATCTGCTCCAGTAAACATGGAGCTGTTGTTGCAGTCTTTGTTTAATTGTTTGAGCATACAAGATCACATGACATATATCCTGTGTGTGTGTGTGTGTGTGTGTGTGTGTGTGTGTGTGTGTGTGTGTGTGTGTGTGTGTGTGTGTGTGTGTGTGCGCACTTGACTATATTAACTGGCAGTGGTGGAGAGGGGAGGGGAAGGAGAGGGTCAATAGCAAAGCTCCACCCTTTCTTCTCACCTTTGCCCCTGGCTGTTTAGTGGGGGTGGAGGCTGGGAGCTGGTGTGTGGTGACACTGATGCTGTGAGACACCCCGCACCCACCCACGTCCTCCACACTTATGCACACCCCCTTCTTCCAGTTCCTTTCTGACAATTAAACACTGACACCATTGCTCAGCTGTGTCTCAGGCGTCTCTGAAGTCTCGTCATATTTCCCCTAAAGTGGAAGAAATAATCAGATTAAAGTAAAACCAATACATGAATGTAAACCAAAGTCCTGCAGTGAAAGTCCTACCAAAGTAAAAGTAATTTTTCCCTGTGACTGATAAATGATTATATATGATTTGAATAGATTATTAATGCGGATGCATCGATGCGTACACAGGATTTTACAGCTGTAGTTGTTTAAAGTGGAGTTTTAACTACTTTATAGTTTAATCCTGTGGTTCCCAGCAGGGATCAGGTCCTGAAGAAGGGTGCAATAAACATGGAACAAAAATATGTATTCAAGCTTAGAACAAAGCATCAGTTACTGTGACAGAAATATTCTAAATAATAAGTAATAAATACGTTTTTAGAAACATGATTAAAAGATTTTAGAGTTTATTTTTGAAAAAAAACAAACAAACAAGATGAGACTGGAGATCTGAACTTTCACACAGTGTGTGTGTGTGTGTGTGTGTGTGTGTGTGTGTGTGTGTGTGTGTGTGTGTGTGTGTGTGTGTGTGTGTGTGGTCATGGTCACGATGAAGCGACACAAAGAGCTCAGCGTACATGGACACAAAAGCCAGAGAGCGACTAGACGGTCAGTTCAGTTCAGTGCAAGGTGCAGGAGCAAAAGGGAAAGGAGCTGAATAATGAGCGGCAACCTCTGACCCCTGACCCCTGACCTCAACAGGAGGATTCAGGGTGTATGTCACCCTAATGTAGCGCTAGGGTGAAAACAAGTTGGGGTGTGTGGGAGGAGGCGGCGGAGTCAGGATGGACACATGGGGAGGTGGAGGGAGGAAGGAGGTGTGGTCTCAGGCTTAATTAGGAAAGGCTGGAAGATGGATAGCATCCCAGCTGAGGGGTGAGGGCGACCAGGGTGTCACCGTGCGGAGAGACACACAAAGGATGGTCAGCCATGTTGGAGAACAGTGCGTTAACCCTCTAGAGTCAGGGTCGATCTTTTCTACTATTCTTCCTCCACAAGCACCGTCTCCTTCTTTGAGTTGTTTTGTGTATCAGTCAGAATACGACCAGAGAACAGTTTAAAAGATACAGTTTCATGTTTATACAAACAAAATGGAAGAAGTAAAGCTCTAAAGTTACAGTCTGTTTGATCTTACATGTGACGCAGTTTTATTCTTCAACCTTTTCATTAGAAATTGAACTAAAAATATTTAATTAATATTATAAACTCACTATTTTAATAATGTGTATTAGATCCTGTTTGAAAGACCCACATCAGCTGCTTTTCTCAGCTTGTCTCAACGTGACCATTTAAATAAAGTTATGTTCATGTAAATAAGACACGGTCATTGTGTTAGACGGACTCCGAAGGGTTAAGAAGTATCGCACACTGAGCCACTAAACTCTTTCCCTAATGTGTTGACGACATATATTAACATGTGCAGGACATATGAAGTGGTAGCAGATTAAAAATAAGCATTACCCATTAAAATACAGTTTATTACAGTAACATTTAGAAGGTGATTTACTGTTTTCAACACATTTAAAGCTCATACGTGTGCGTCAGTGACAAACAACGTTCAGTTGAGGTTCACGTTCACACGAAACCTCCGAACAGCAGGAGCCAGTGAGACACAATGAGACGTCTGAGGTGAAACTCAAGGTCAACAGAACCGCTGATCAATACAGAGTATGGATCGATTGATGAGCGGTCAGCTGACGACGCCTGACACTCTCTAAACACGGCGGTGGGAGGGACAGCTGAACAGATGAAGGGGCGGAAAGCTGATCCCCCAGAGAGAGAATGACACCCCCCACACACACACACACACACACACACACACACACACACACACACACACACACACACACACACACAGCACAGCCTGATGTATAACCTGACATAACGAGGGAAACAGTTTATTGAACTCGTTCTTTTTCTCAAATATCATAGATAGATGGATGGATGGATAGATCAATAGACAGACAGATAGATCGCCCCCCCACCCCGGCTGCAGTGATGATGAATGTGTCCTTATTGAAGTGGTCATCTTGTTGACACCCCCCCCCCACGATGAGCGTTGAGGTCATTAGATCAATGAGAGGCAGAGGTGGGGGAGGGGCTTCAGGGCTTAAGGAGCACTGCCTATATCCCAGCATATGCATTTTGAGTGTGTGTGTGTGTGTGTGTGTGTGTGTGTGTGTGTGTGTGTGTGTGTGTGTGTGTTTTATATATATATATTTATACTTTTGTTCTCCTTTATAAAGCAACTAAAACCAATTAGTAATCAAATAATTTATCTTTTAAGGCGTGTTTCTCAACAAAACTCTCGTTACAAATAAATAAATTAACGAGTCAATAAATGAATTTCCAGTAAAATGAAGATTCACATTCTGTCTCCATGGTTACACTGTGAAACACCCAGAGAGACTCTGTGTCACATGACTTCAGATAGACTCAGTGTGAATTCATCTGATGCTCAAAGCAGTTCAGTTCTGGACTGTCTGGTGGTGGTACAATGAATTCTGGGTAAATTAAGACTTATTCCGAAAAAAGAAAAAAAAATGGCCGACCAAGGTGTGTAGAGTGTAGAGTGAAAAATAAAAATCAGATTTCATCTAAAAACTCTTTCCCTTCTCTTTGCTCTCTCCATAGCAACGTTAGCTAAGCTCAAATTATGAGCCACGTTTTCCTGTTTGTTGCTCTGTGAACTTTTGTACCTGGACTGTTTTATACCATGTCACCTGATTACAACTGTAAACACTTGTTAGTCCTGATGCGTGGAGGAGGATGTGATCGGCTTTTATTCCTGACCAGATAACAGTGGTGACGCTGCAAAACGTACAGAAGAATCTTTCTACCGAGCCTCTTTGAAACTGTTATTTCAAGCGTTATTCAAATGAATGTCTCTTTGACTTTAGTGTTTCAGGACTCTGTGTCTTTTAATCGTTTGCAAAGGCAGATGTAGCGTGCAGCAGAGTCTTTCAGGTGCTTTAGTTTCACATCTCCTTCTCCGCTCTTCCTCAGCTCCTCCCGAGTTCCTGCAGTGGCCGCAGTCCGTGTCCAAACCAGCAGGGGGCAGTGCAGTGTTCACCTGCGTGGCCCAGGGTGTCCCCGAGCCTCACCTCATCTGGCTGAAGAACGGGAAGGTCCTGATGCCCGGACACAACGTCAAGCTGACCAACAACAACAGGCACGTCTCTGAAATACAGAATGAAACACTAAAAAAAAATCAACATGATGAAATCAGTTTGATCCAGTTACTGAGATGTTTCTTATTGATCCGACTAAAGTTGATCAAAGTCATTTCACCTTAAAAAAGTCACAAGTGCATGAGAAACCTGCTCAGGTACGATGACTGCAGGAAGTTGAATGTGTCACACAGGTTTGTGGTCAGACGGATGTTTGTAGTGTTCTAATACAGAGGAATACATTTCCATTACCAAGTTAAATAGACAGCGGTAGCACTTCCTCTACCGTTACGGTGCCGGTGTTGCACTGATTTGTGTCATGGCAGTTTCACTCAAGTCAGAGAAGCGGGAGGACAAAATATACAGTCCTGCATTTAACAGTTGTACCACACGGTGGCAGCGCTGCACAGAAAAGCCTGTTGGACTCTCCTGATGGTCAGTGTGTCTGTGATTACATAATGACATCAAATTTAAAGAATGGAATATTAAACTGTGGGAATATTCACCAAAGCACAAAATACATTAAAATAATAAGGATGTAATAAAGGTGCATTTTATAATTCTGTCTGTGAGTTACAGTGAAATCTCAGTGATCTGTTTGAATCAGGTAGAATAAAATATGAGCAGGTGAAAACCAAAGCAGATCCTCCGAGCTCAGTGTGAACTCCGGGGACACGGAGCGTCAGCCGGTCATTAGTCCTGGTGTAATGTGGTCCAGGCAGTTTTCCACTAAGCGCCTTGTAAATAAACAAATACACAGAGAGGAAGATCCAGCGTCGAGGGGTTTTAAAGTTGCAGCTGAAGACAAGAAGTCACCATCGTCTAAAACTAAAAGTTTCCTCAACAAGAGTTTTTCTACAGCGCAATGAGAAGCAGGATTTATTCCTGAAAATAAGAGACAATCTTTGCCTTAATTAACTCACCAGGTTTGAGACATAGTTCCTACAGCATGACTCTTTCAAGGGAAAAGTAGTAGAAAACAAACGCACCTTGTCTCTATTATATAACAAAATGATGTAATAATGCAACGTTTAGATGTAGATGAATCTGGATGAAACGTAGTTTTTAATGAGGAACTGATTAATTCTTTAGTGACACAGCAGTGGGAGAGACAGCAGCAGATTACCAGTGACACGTAGTCCTAGTTATTTGTATTAGAAACATCAGTGCAGGTGTTTTACTCCCTGTGTTGTCTGTGCAGCACTCTGGCTCTGACCCGTATCAGCGCAGAGGACGAGGCCATCTACCAGTGCATCGCAGAGAACAGTGCCGGGACCAACCAGGCCAGCGCCCGTCTGGCTGTGGCCCAGGCTAAAGACCTGCCCGCCGCCCCCCAGGGCCTCACAGCCAGCGGCCTGTCCGCCAACGCCCTGCAGATCACGTGGAACCAGCCGCCTTCCAACGTCACCGACAGCATCATCGGATACGTCCTGCACATCCGCAAGATAGGAGGTGAGCGTCGGCGCCGTCTTCTCTAGAGAGATACCATTAGAGCTTCAAATTAAAGAACTAGAATCACCGCCTCGTGGTTGTATCCCTCCGCCGCTGTCACAATCAGTTTGTCTTTGACTCCGGGCGAATGTCTCGACATAACCACATTCAAGAGGCAAAAAACATGTTTTGTGAGGTCAGCGTGACCTTGATCTTTGACCTTTGACCAAGAAAATCTAATCAGTTTATCCCTGAGTCCTAGTGAGTGTTTGTGCCAAGTTTGAAGACGTTCACTGAGACGGACGGACATCCTGAAAACAATAAAGTTTCTGTTACACAACTTAACTTTAAATATACTTTATTGTCATGCAGCAGGTGTGCTGATTAAAAAAAGAAAGAAATAATTCATTTAAAAAATAAACACACAAAATCTGAATCTAAAAGTAGAATATAAAGTATTAAATGTATAAAGATGTAAATGCGCCAATTAAAGCAGAAACGTCGGCAGGGTGTGCAGCCGAACAACTGTGTAGTAAAAGCTTTGTGTGTGCGTGTGTGTGTGTGTGTGTGTGTGTGTGTGTGTGTGTGTGTGTGTGTGTGTGTGTGTGTGTGTGTGTGTGATTCAGAGCCTGACAGTCTGGAGCTGCAGGAGGCCATCAGTAAAGGCACCTTCCAGCATGATGTGACCAACCTGGAACCGGCCACCACCTACAGCCTCTACCTGAAGGCCTACTCTCCTCTGGGCGCCAGCCAGCAGTCCCGCACTGTGGTGGCTACAACGCTGGGTGGAGGTAAGAACATGAAAAGATGGAAAGCCTTAAATATCCAGAATTCGTCCAGCAGGTGAACGCTGATGAGACGCTTCACCATCTCTCTGGGTCTGAAGAAGCAGATGTGGATTGTCGGACTGTTGTTTTTTCTCCTGATCTCTCGGCTCATCTCTCCTCTCTCTGTCTCTGCTCTCCGTCCAGTACCGACCCCTCCCACCTTCTTCACCAAGGTGGTGAACTCCAGCGCTGTGCAGGTGCTGTGGGAGCTCCCCAGTAAGGCCGGCAAGGCTGAGGGCTTCAGGCTGTCCTACCGCAAGGTCCCCCACGCCGACTTCCAGGGACCCGTCCAGCTGCCCTGTCAAATCAATGCACACACCATCTCCAACATGGGGGAGTGTGTGTGTGTGTGTGTGTGTGTGTGTGTGTGTGTGTGTCACTGCTTGTCTTTATGACTGAACGGCAGCATTTGTCTCTCCGCCATGTTTGTTTACATCAGAGTCCTGCACTACGAAGCAAGTTCAACATGCGCAGGATAACTTTCAGTTAGCTGGACCGAACAGTGTCCGTCCTGACAACCTGTACCTGCTGATCACCTGGCTCAGTTAACCCTGGGTTTACCTCTACAGGTGCGAGCAGGGAGAGAGTATACTTTAGGTTTTCATCACTACTGCACAGTCTGTCTGCTGCCGTCACGCTCAGGATCAGTGACGTGGCAGCTCAGGTTCAGATACAGATACGGGTCAGATTTGACCTGGAACAAGTTTTTGAATATTTTCATTTTTGTGTATTTTGGGTCACTTTAGGAAAAGTCATCAAATTTCAGGCTAAAAGACATTTAGAGTATTTTTACTGCTGTCAAATGTGACCCGAAGGGTTAAATCCTGCTTTGTAGTTACAGGCCTCTGAGTTTCAACAGCTGTAACCATGACAACAAGTGTGTTGTCATGGCCATGGGTTCTCCCTGTTACACTGCAGTGCAGATAAAGGCTGAACGGTGGCGGCTGCTGGTTCACTCTGTTCTTAATGGACTGAACACGCTGATCCTCACACAACAAGTGGCGGCCCAGTGTGAAGCAGCAGCGTCTCGCATCACGATTACCTCATCAGTTCATCACCTGACGGCAGCTGAACGTGTGATGCCATGACTCAATATTCAGTCTATACATCAACACACAGCCGCCTGAGAAAAGGATGCAATGTAGTGACTGAGTGATTTGTATTTTGCACAGTGTACAGAACAGCAGCAGTAGAACAAATATTGCCAGTATATTAACATGTGAGTGTCCATAATACAAATGTTGTATGGGACACAGTGGACTTGGATAATCAGTGTTTTTATGTTGAAGACAGAAAAAAGAAAAACAGTGGGAAAAAAAGACAAATGAGATTTTAAGATAAAACTGTGCAAACACAAACCACCAGCAACAAACTCTGTACTACTACAGACATGTTCCATTTGACCATCTAGCAGGATGTAAATCATCTCTCGATCTCAGCAGAAGAGTCAGTCTTTCCTTCTCATGAATCTCTTTGATAATTTCTCGCGGGTCGTTCACTGAAGGTGGATCGGCCCGTTTTAAAACTGGTGGTTTAAAAGGAGGTTGTGACAGGAGGACACAGCTGGTGACTGACGGGAGAGGTCCATGTGATGTTGACTTAAAGCACAAACTCCAACTGACTCTGTTTCAGAACCGGGCGCGGTGTACGAAGTCAAACTGGTGGCCTACAATGGAAACGGCGAGAGTGACTGCTCCAAGAGACTGGTGTCGCTGGCGGAGGAAGGCCTGAGTGACCAAAGCACAGGTGAGTCCAGACCGTCGGCAGGTCCTCCGGGTACACCTGTGGGCGCTGTGGAGGAAATCCCGTATTAACCAAATACAATTACTAATTCACATACACACCTCCAAACCTTTAAGCTCCCAACGTGTTCAGTCAGACTTCATCATCATTTAGGTCAATAACAGGAAACACAAATAACCACATAAACCCTAAGCAGGTCAGAACCCACTTTAATAATAGGTGAAGGATAATAAACATTATATAAAAGCTTCATTAAGTGTCTAATATCCCATTTATTCAATAGAGTATAAAACTTTAAATCTATATCACATACTGTGTCTGTCTTTGTAAACTGATCAATGTTAATTGTGCTAATTATACTTCATATTCACTGTAAGTAATAGATATTTATAGTAGTACATTACCATTTTGTTTATTTACACTTTGGTAAACTGCATTTCCTTGTTCAGTACTTGTTCTTGTTCAATGACAAAAAAGTTGAATTTAATCTGATATATAAAAAAAAAAGAAAATCTAAAGAAATCTGTAACAGAAGTGGATTTTTTATAAATTCCAAATACACTCATAGCACATGTAAATATCTCCTTGAAGCTCTTTAAATTCAGTTTAATGAACTGTACTGTCACACAGGTAGAAATGCACCTGTGGACCAGTATTTACTTTCCCATTCACTTGAATGTGTTTGCCTCCAGGGGGCAACAGTCTGTGTCAGTGCAGGGATGGAGAGGCCTCTCTGGGCAGCATTGTCATTGGCATCCATATTGGCACCGCCTGCATCATCTTCTGCGTGCTCTTCCTCATGTTCGGATACCGACGCAGGTAAACGCCGCCACACTGTACATCCTTTGTACTTTCATATTATATATTTAACCTGTAATCCGGTGGATTATAGTGTGTATCACACTTACTGATATAGATACAGTCACTGGGCCAGACTAAGGTGACCAGATGTCAATGTCTTTAACTGTCAATTAAAACCAATCATCTTACGAACTAAAGGAATATAAATAATCCAGGAACAGATAGACAATAGGACTTCACGACTGCTTCAGAAGTAGGGAGTTTTATTTTCCTTTAAACCTTTATTTTAAAAGAGATTACTTACAATTTTTTGGACTGTTCCTGTTTGAAAGGGGCCACCTGTGTGTCAAGTGCTTTAACTGAACCCAAACCAAAAAAATGTAGCCATAATTTCATCACCTTTTTGTTTAAAATACCGCCTTTAGTCATTTTATCACTCGGCCTTCACCATAGTTTATTACAGTACAACAGCTATCATGGTCAGAATACATGAAACTGGGACTGTCCCTATTCTTATTTCAGAGGTACAAACATTGGATGTTTTAATGAAACACTGACCACAGTTGTTCCCGGTTTACATTTCAGATATCTGTCACTTTAGACCAGATTAGAAACCAGAATCACTCTTTACGTTCTTCATGTACTAATAATTGTCATAACTGTTTGCAGTCTTTTCTGCAGTAAAGGGACTCAGGACAGCTGGTCTGTACCGAGGGACAACACAGGACACATGAGGAACCCTAAAGATGGAGCAAACTGCCCCAGAGTGGAGTCAACGCCTCAGGTAGTCACACATGTGAAGCTTTATTCAACCATTTAATTTATTAAGTACAGTTCTGTTACACTAAATCCAGAAATCATCATCAACATCATCATTGGGTGGACGGTGTTTGATTCCTTGTCTTTCTTGTCTCCTTCCTGTTGTGACGCAGGTGGTCTGTCCAGCAGAGTGCCAGGTCATCATTGAGCAGCAGTCATCAGGTTTGCCTGGCATTGGCACTGGCTAACACTGGTCAATAATATCAACATAACCCCTCCCCAATACCCCTCCCCTCCTCCCTCCCAACTATCCCCCACCATGTGTGCTACTCGCCTAGAAAAACCCAAGCCTCTCTTTGATAGAGGTCATAAACCTGCTGCTAATAACCTGAACGTAGCCTCCACACAACAGGGACAGAGCTAGAACACATACTGACCCTTACCACTCCACCGCCCCCATCCTCACCCCTACCTCAAACCAAAGCTTAATGCCTTTATTGCCTGTGCGTGTGCACATGTGCATGCTTTAAAAAAAAAAAAAAACGCCTTCAAGAAGCATGGCCACTCCAGATCAGGTCCTGTCACGTTCTTTTCCGTCACTTTTCCAGAGGGAGTCTGTTCTATAACCAAAACCTTCCACTTCTCAGATCTCCCCTGGTGCGCTGACGTGTGAGGATGTGCACTGTGGTGTTAAAACCCCTAAATGAAGCCAAATGTTTTCACCTGACCGGGACCTGTATCAACGAATCTGTTGTGACAGAACTCTTGATTTCACCGTCAGTTCCTCTGCAATAAGAAATGGAAGAAACACAGCGGCCTTTGCAAACGCCTTACAGAGGTGAGAGTCTGATTACAAAATGACCGTACAAGCTCGTTAAGAAGAACCAAAACCTGCACACCTCCAAAAGATAAAAAGAAAAGCTACCTCAGTCTGAGAAGAATGTCTGAGCCATAGTTGAGGCCAGTGTTAGCCTACCTCGACCAAACCCCCCCCCCCAGCTACTTCCTCAACCAGTGCCAGTGCCAGCCGCCAACCAGGCCAGTCCAGAGAGTGCTCACCGGGATGACTACCATGGAGAGCATAACCATGGCGGTCTGAATTTCCACCGCCACAAGCCTAAGCCTTACTGCACCAGAGGTCAACATGAGCCTGAACGACCCCCTGCCCCAGTCAGGTGACCTTTGTTCCCACCCACATTGTTTTGGTGGAAATCTCCTCCACGAGTTTCCATCTCCAAAGACGTGCGTGTGCAGAGGATGTAGCTCATGAAAAATATGGACCGACGAGCTTCGTGAACATTTAAGCCACGCACATGAAGTCCTTTTTTAAAGAAAACAAGTTCAGACAAACACAAGTGTTGTTTGATCTGCGCAAACCTCATGGCATATTGACGACAAGCCAAAAAATAAAAAAACAGACTTTGAGGCCATGCTGCCAGGTAAACTCTCCAGATGCCAAACTGGTCGTCCTGGGGCCTCGACGACGCTGAGTTGGCGGCTAAAGAAGTTTTATGAAGATACTTGTGTCTCACCGAGTCAGCCTATCCAAAAAGTTTATGAAAACCAAGCTGAATGATTGACCCAAAGATGTAAACATTTTGATGGTTTTCTTTATTTTCCTTTAAACCTTTATTTTAAGAGAGACTACTTTACAATTTTTTGGACTGTTCCTGTTTGAAAGGGGTCACCTGTGTGTAAAGTGCTTTAACTGAACCCAAACCAAAAAGATTTTGCCATAATTTCATCACCTTTTTTTGTTTAAATACGATCTTTCATGTCTTGTTCGTCTAGTTTGGAAGTTATTCCAGGTGCACCCCTTCAACACGGAACTGTGTTTTGTTGATTCTAACACTTAACACTTAAAGAGTGACCAAATGAAGATGTCAGATATTTTGAAAGACTTTATGTCAATACTATAAGGAAAACTTTGTGTCTATTTTAAAGTAGGAGTTCTTGCCAAATATTTAGCTATAAATATGTAACCAAATACCTCTACATTTTTAACATTCATAGTCTTTACCTTTACACTTCCTCATAACCAAAGCACAGAAACATGCTTGCGAGCGTGACGACGTACATGTGTGTGAATGGATAACAGTGGGTAAACCTTGAGGACAGAAGCTTTGAGAGGGAAACACAACTTTAGATTGAAAATGTTTCTTTTGACCCAAATTAATCACCAAAGAACACGACTAACTTCAGTCTATAGTGAACAGAAACACAAAAGTCACTTAGACAAAAATTTTTTTTATGAAAAAGTGCTTTAAACCACGACTTTGTTCATATATTATTACAGTGTGTGTCGCCTCAGGCGTTTATGGTCCTCAAGGTCTACCTGAACCCTTTATGAGTGTTAAAGGTTTACTCAAAGCAGAGCAGTATAAAGCCTCGGACTTCTCCCCTGTTCTTTTTTCACACAATTGAAAGCTGTTGAGCCAATGTGATACCAAAAAGTGTATTTGATATGGAAGACCTAAAAAGTCGATGTGTCTTTAGTGTGAAGTATGTAGTGGTTAAACTAGTTTTTAAAATGGAAAGCATTTATGCTAATGTTTCTGTTTTGAACGATTCATTTCTCTTTTCATTTGAGTCTTTTGTTCTTCCTGCTGTGCTCAGGAAAAGTTGCCAAAACGAATGTTCGCTTCTGTTGAAAGTTTTTATTGTTATTATTATTGTTATTATTATTATTATTATTAGATTAGGATCAATTCAAATGTTTTCATTTGTTTCACACGTGGAAGGATGATATGAAAATGTTTGTTAGGATTACTTTGTGACGGATTCTTTGAGCGAATGATGTGAGTTTTCCAGAGAATTCAGACGTGCCCTGAAGAGCCAGTGACTAGAAGACAAAGAACAACAAAAAGAGAAAAAAAAACTGTAGGAAAGTAGAAACTGGCTGCTAGTACCAATGAGAAATGATGCTTTAATGATGACAAGTGCTTCTATTGTTCTCTAAACTTTCCACTGGTTCATTGTAGCCAACTGCAAAACTAAAGCTTTAACCAGTTGTGACCGAGGTCCCGTCCTCGGTCTTTGGCCTAAAATGAAAAGGTTTGGAGGACTGACTGTGGAGAAGTTGCAGCTGGAAACAGAGACCAAGCTGTGACCTGTGAAGTTTTAAAGGTACATTTATTTTAGTTCATGCAAATCACAACAGATTTCAGGCCAGGAACACACTGGCTGCGTGGCGTGTGCGCTGCGTGGCGTGTGCGCTGCGTGGCGTGTGCGCTGCAGCTGCGAAACGTCTCGGTTTTCACTTTGGTGTCCATGTTAACGGGTTAGAGCGACACACTGCCTCCATGTGAGTCACTATTCTCACGGCTGCGTCACAAATAGACACTAGTCACTCCCTCCAGGAGATAGACCACACCAAGATTCATTGTTACTAATGGATTTATTCTCTTTACTTCAAATGGCACCATCGACACCACCAGCACTGTTGAACTAATTAGACACATAATATTGTACAAACTAAACACACACACTCATATTACATCAAACTACAGAAACATGAATATAAACATACACAAAGACATGTAAATAGAGACAAGTAAGACAAAAGACAAGTAAATAAACAAAACTCGCTGGCTGCACACGACCAGGAGGAAATGAACAGACCAAAAATAAATCCTAAAAAATGAGCACAGTTCACCTTTTTAACTTAAACTTTACCAAAATACAAACTGACATTGTTACAACTTAAACAGTCCCCGTGCAACACGGACACAAACCTAGTTCCTACGTCCTGCATATAGCCAATACAAATAAAAGAAAATATATCATAAAATATATCACATACATAATGTACGCAAACAAAACAGATCAAATGACAGCATAAAAATATTTTTATGGCAGTTAAAGGAAGAAAAGACTTTTTTGTTGATGTCATATTCACATCAAAGCAGCAGCATCACATAAACTGACAGCTTCCACAATAGCTTCAGTGTCGAGGCTCAATCTGAATATGTCACAGACATGAATAAATATGTTTTTTAACCATTGTAGCAGCTGCATGTGGAGACAGAGACATTTTAGGGACATTCTGTCAAAATATAAAAAATTAGTTAATAATGAAAAGAAATCCAATATTCCAGTAATCTGTAGACTCTATGTAGAGAGATAGCAGCAGAGACGCAGCCGGTGTGTTCCTGGTGTCTCAGTTTGGGTTTCACCATTTTTCTTAGCAGTTGTTTGAACTGACACCGTATTTATTTATTTAGCCTGAAGTCTTTACGTTGTGACGGTAGCTACAAGCCAACACCAGCACATTTCCAGTGACACTGGAGCTCATATAATGAAATGAAATGCATATTTATTGTCAGTTAGTATTCTGTGTCCATAATATTGAACAAATTACTTATTAAAAATACATGATAATGGCCACAGAATAAAACAGAATTTTGAATTTAATTAATAATGTTAGCAGTGGGATAGTTTAAACTAAGAGCTACAAATATGATTTTCAGTTTGGTAATTGCCACCAAACAGCTTGGTCTCTGTGTGACTGCAGACTGCTCTGGATTTAACTCTGCTTTTTCTCCTTCATCACTTTCTAACATGCCTAAAACCAAATAAAGACATTTTGTTGAATCCATGTTCCCCTTTCTTTTTTTTTTCTTTTGTTAGACTTCATTAGATTCACTCAGTCTGCCCTGTGGTAGACTGCCAACCTGTCCAGGTGAACGCCACGTCTCACCCAGGGTGCACTAGGGTTCTTCAGATTGACTGAGAGATTGTAGCATTATCCTACAGGAAGTGGTCATCAGAAGATGGTGAACTGTGGCCATGAAGGATGAACATGGTCATCAACAACGCTCAGAGAGACTGAGACACTCAGACTGTCTTTAGGGTGGAACGGCAGAGGAGTTAGGATGTAGACTGGCTCCAACTGATGGTGAGTGGTCCCTGTTTCGACCAAGCCATGACTGTTATTGTAGTAACCATGGCAACCGAAGGTAGGTGCGCCACTCTCAATTCAGTTGGCATGTTTATTATTGTGACCATGACAACCGAGGTCCGGTAAGTCTGCCGTCATAGGAGGGGCGCTATTTCAGGAGACGCTCCCCTGGGTCGTATCAGAGGGTTGGAACAAGCTGTGTGGTTGTTCAGGTTGGAGGAGGTGTTGGTGCATCTATAGTTCCTGTCCCACCTGCTCCCACTGAATTTGTTTCCTGTCCTAACCCAGTCACGTGATGAACAGTGAAATCGACTCCTATCCCACAAGATTCCCAAAAATTCCCATTGTCACCCTCTGATACAGAGTGGTTTGTGTGTGTGAGTGTTTCCTCCCTCCCCCAGTCACCTTAGCAACCAGTGTCTCAGCCGTTGCTAGTGACTGTCACTAGCTATTTATATACCCTCAGTAGACTCTCCTTGTTAAAGGGACAGTTTGGATTTTTTGATGTGGGGTTGTGTGAGGTAGTCATAAATCAGTAGTTTAGCAGTTGAAGAAATGTAGTACCAAAGGAATGTGCTGTTTTCACAGGTAATGTACCGACTATATATGGCTACCTCACACCACAAAAACCACCACCAATCGGCATGGCAGGCAGATAGTACATCTCTTAGGTTGTCATTTGTTTGTCTTTGGACACTTTATGTTTGATTGTTTTGGATTTGATTTATTTTCTGATTTATTTTGTAAGTACTTCCCTCATGTGTCTTGTGGTTATTTTACTTCCTGTCTTTGTCCTGTTTCCCTCCTTGTAGATTATTTGCCCCGCCCTGATGTGTTTCACCTGTGTGTAATTGCCCTCCCTTCTGTATTTAAGTCTGTTTTCCACTTGTCTTTTCAGTTCGTCTGTTGAGTTTCTCTGATGTTCCCTCCATTGGTCCTTCATGTTCCCAGTCATTTGGATACCTTGGTTTTGAATTTCAGAGTTTAGTTTCTGTAATATTGTAAATCAAAAAGTAGATTTCTAACCCTAACCCTACCCCAACCACCACAGACCATGAGTAAACTGAGTATACCCTTCACATTTTAATTAACAAACTCCAAACAACGAAATGATTAGATATTCATGTTTTATTGTTTTCCAAAAAGCTTTCAACTCACTTTGTCGTGACAGTTACAGATTTCTATAATGTTGTTTAGGGGGAAAATATATTTCTGATTAAATTAATGTGTCTGTAACAGGTGTGCTGTTAAAGGTGGAGTTCTTCACCAGGGGAAGATTCGTGAAGTTTCTGTTCAGTTGGATCAGTGTGCCGCTCCTGGTCTCTCCCTCCGACACACAGAGGTGAAGTCCCAGTATTAGTATGGTGTTCCTAATAAAGTGCTTGATCGGTGTTTACATTATATAATCATAATCCTACTGAATCTATAGGTACATAACAAGAGGTTATATTTGGCTGAATATTGAATTTAATACTAGTCAAGTGGTAACTCAGCACATTCAGTAAGTAATGACTTGCTTTCTAATACAATACAAACTACTGTTCATAGTGGTTTTTCACAGTCATGCAGAAACAGAAACGACCCAGTCTTTGTCTGCTCATGGAGGTAGTGGTAACACTGACTCTTCTCTGAGATAAAGGCCCAATCCCGATGCCCCAATCCTCTTTACACCATTTTGAGCTCTTGCGGCCTCTCGCACTCAATCACTCAGCAGATGACGTCAATGAAGTCTGTGAGGGTTTAGGGTTTAGGAGGGACACTGTGATACGTACACGGTGCATAAAGGCAAGGAGATACTCTCCACGTCCGCACACATCTGCATGACGATCTGGTATGTCTACACTCTACTCCAGGATGTGGTGGTAATGCAACACGATGTTGTTTGTCTACGACTTTTAAAAAAAAACCAAGAGGTAGAAGAGGAAAACAAGAGGAGTGCAAAAAGAGAAAATATGAAGTGTGTTAGGACTTCAATGCCAGTTCATTAGAAGAAGAGGCAGACATGCACACTAGGGTCTGTGTGGACCCTTGAGGACATCAGCAGAATGTTTTAATTGCCCTTATAAGGTTAGCATAGAAAAGACAAGTGAATAGTTTTAGGTAGCACATTGGGCACATTTCAAAGTAAAACATTTACACTCTGTTCATGCATCACTAGGTGTGCAAGAAAAAACAAGACTAGGTCTAAAGCTGGTCAAATCCTGATTTTGTAACTGTGACATCGCTCATCAAAATCTACTGCAGGTAATGCACTGCATATATGACTAACTCACACACCCCCACGTCAAAAAAAAAACCCCGAACTGTCCCTTTAAAAACAGCTGTGGAATTCGACACAGGTCAAACAGGTGCACAACAGACATACTGATATTTTACTGACATGCAGTAATTTAACAGAACATTGACGCACATGGTTCTTGCAGCTTCCCTTCAGATCACAGTTCCACAGCTCAGAACAGATGTTCATAAGAGCAGCTAAAGCCAAAGTTGTTCACTGACCGATAATGAACTCGTGGGATCATCATCAAGCAGCTGACATCGGGTAACTTTTCCACCACCACCACGCCGCTGCTGTTTAACTGGGGTTCCCACTGTGCTGGTTGGAGCTCAGGTCAGACTCCATCTCCCTGGCGGCTCCAGCGTTTCGACTGGACAGACGATCCACAGAGCAAGGCGAGGCGTTGTTGGTTCGTCGGCCGCGGCAGCACGCCACCACGTCAGCGAGGTCGGCCCGGAAAGACGGCGTGTAGAAGCCGTAGATGACGGGGTCACAGCACGTGTTCAGGTTGCCGAAGACAAACAGTATGTGATGTACATACTCAGGTGTGTGCTGGATCATCGCCGGCTGGAACCAGTACCAGATCCCCAGGAGGTAGTAGGGCGTCCAACAGATGACGAACGAGCTGACGATCACTATGGACATCTTGAGGGTCTTCATCCGGGCTTTAGGTATCATGTCTGTTCCACTGCGTCTCAGACAGTGTTCGCCATCTGCACAAACACAACGTGGACAGAAACTCACATAATATAAATATACGTATGTAATCACCTGTACGGCCTCATGCTGGGATGAGGAGCGTCTGTGTGTCTGCACATAGTGATTTACATTTGCTGTTTTATATCAGACATAAAACATCCATCATGGACTGAATAGAAAGTCTGGTGTTAACCTCAGACTTCATTTCAGTCATCCAACCAAAAACACAGAGACTTCAGGAACAGGAGGTGATGAGGTGCAACTAGTTCTGGGTTTGACAGAAATCAAAGAAAATCACACTTGAAACAGGAATAATGTTTGAAGTCAGTTATTAATCAGCCTCCTGAGGTCTGAGGGCATCTTCTCAATTTCAACATTATTTCTTAAGGTACATTTTTATCTTGTTATGAGATAATATGTCACAATTTTCAGAACAATCTCAGCTCTTTCTATAATGACGCCCCTCACTGTGTAAACAGATCATTTGACCCAAATGCTGATGTATAATAAAGACCTAAAATGCAATATCTGGTTATCTCTGGATAACGAGCTTTGTATTCTTCGGGATAAAAAAACATTTGCGAGTACGGCCTTTCTCAGCAGACAGGTTGGGCATAAGTTTTCCTGTTCACCTTTACCTGGAGGTTTGTTTCCAACCTGTCTGAAGGTCGGATTGTGTTGTCAGATCTGTTCCCTTGGTGCGTTTAATGTCATACAAAAGTCCTGGGTTGTCATAAACCAGATTTATCCTTTAAATCGTCAGCGGTTCGAGACTCCACACAAAGGTCACACACCTTTGCTCTTGCGCATCCGCCCATTGATCTTGGTGAGAATGCGGGTGTAGCAGAAGGTCATGACCAGCAGAGGGAAGACATACAGCGTCACAAAGTGAAACATGTTGTATGCCGTCTCCTGCCAGCGATGCCGGAAACTTCCATGGGTCACACACTGAGTGAAGTCCACGCCGTCGGCCTTAATGGCCCGGAAGATGAACAGCTGAGGATGAATAGAGTGGAAAGACATGAACAATGAATGAACGCAGTCACAGGAAAACACCAGTTGTAGTTTGTATTTATTAACAAACTTTATATTATATTTGTTCATAAACAAACTACACAAAGAACCACACGGCGCAGGAGGTTCTTTGGCTCCATGTGGTGCATTAAAGTCACTTTAATGCAGCTCAGAGTCGCAACGAAGGAACGTCACAAACACAAGGAGAATCACGGCAACTGAAGCAGCTTTAAGAGGTGATGAAGGTGAATTGTTTCAGTAACTGTCTGATGGTGGGACTCAAGCTCAGCTGCTGTGCAGTGGTTGTTAGTGGCGCTGGGTGAACGCAGAGTTAGCGACGGTGTCAGAGAAGGGACAAACTTAAGGGAGTGAATCTTCTGTACAGCAGTAATGTGAAGAAGGATGATACTGACCACACAGCTCATCACTGACGGGCCACAGGAGAAGGCAGTTCAAGATAGAACAACACATGATGAGTGAATATTATCATTGTTTTATGTTTCATATAAATTCATGATAATTTAAGTTAATGAGGTAATTAAAATGGATTAAAAATGCAATAAATGGATATTAAAATGGTTAAATTGATAAAAGGTTTGTTTAACAATAAACCAGTTCAACCCTCTGAGGTCTGAGGGCATCTCCTCGATTTCAACATTATTTCTTAAGGTACTTTTTTATCTTGTTATAAGATAATACATCACAATTTTCGGAACAATCTCAGTCTTTATATAATGACCCTGTTTAAACTGTGTAAATAGATCATTTTGCCCAATTTTTTAATTTCTTCAAATCTCTTGTGAAAACAAACTTTTACTGATGTGGATGAATTTGTTTTAGTGATTCAAATTGTTTTTACCAAAGTATTAAGTTTTTACAACATGTAAAATAGTAGATAAATGTATAATAAATGCCTAAAATGCAAAGTGTTGTCTGTCACTCTACTTCAACCAAATTTTAGAGGTCTGCTTGGACGCCTTCTGGCGCCGTAAAATCTCACAAGAATATGAAACAGAAAGACGAGAGTCGACAGATTCTAACAACATTTAAACTTTATTTCTACACTGTGTTATCACAAAGATACACAGGGTGATTGTCTTTGATTTATATTTGTTTATTATGTCGTTAACGTGCTTATATGAACATTAATGAGAGTTTTAAATGATGGAGAGACGTGTGTCTTTTATGTTTTTATCTTTATTTTTTATTTATATTTGTAATTGTTGGACCTGTGCAGCTACATTTTATGTTTCTTACAAATCAGTAAGTGCAGAACCACCTCCTAATACGTATTGTATCAGTGTCTGATGGATCTCATTCCCAGCTGTTGTCCAACACTATCAAAAACACATCAATGATCTTGTGTGACTCAACACTACTGATGTAGGGGGGGGGACTCTTATTCCTCCAATCAGAAACATGCTAGAGTAATGACTCATACTGCACATGCTCAGTTCGACCCTCCCCCAGCAGGAAAACACACATTCAACATCTGCTGCTGCATTTATTGAAAAAAAATCTATGAAAGTATTTAATTTAATCAAACTCTTAAACTTTTGTTTAAATGAATCGAATGAATCGAGACTTGTAAGTGACGTGGTCAGCGTGTGTCAGTGTGTTCAGCTAGCACATGATGCTCTGTCATGGCCGACAGCCACATCACATCAGCGTGTTTCAACATTTGTGATTCAAAGTGAAGCTGATTCTGTCCCATAGTGCAACAGATAAAACAATAACTGCTCATTTTAAAGCATAAGAGAATATAAACCAGAATATTTGGGGAATTATTTTGTTGCAGCCTCTCGTGTTCTTGCCGTATATTTGCCTGTTCTGTTTATCATGAACAATAAAAACATGTTGAGCCCAAACTCAACAACTGTTCTTTGATAGATATTATTAAATAAATATATAATACTATGATATTGTAAAACAATGCATGTTTTCAGAATACTGTGATTATTGAGACAAAAAACAAAAGTGAATTAGTGAAATTTAATATATAAACGTTTGGTTGGTGCAGTTCAAACAGTGTCTGAGTAACTGAGAGAAATGTAAAAAGTGTCTAATCATCCTCAGACTCCCATCACATTAAATTGTACCCCCCACCACCACCCCCACCCCCACCCCCACCCCCCCCTACCTGAGGAGAGGCCAGCAGCACGCTCAGAGTCCAGGCCACGAGCAGCATGCGTCTGTTCCTGAGGCCGGCGTCCAGAGAGTCCAGAGGATGGAGGATGGCCCGGTATCGGTCCAGACTCACCACCACCAGGATGAACGCGGCTGAGTGCATGGCAAAGAGCTTGAGGAAACACAACAGCTTACACATGACGTCCCCGGCGTACCACTGCACCGTGATGTTCCAGACGGCGTCCAGTGGCATCACCACAAAGGTCATCACCAGGTCAGCGGAGGCCAAGCTGGCGATGAGCGGGCGCAGATGTGCTGCCAGGCGATAACCCCGCCCCCAGCACACACTGATGAGGACTGACAGGTTACTGATGGCGGCAAAGACAAACAGCACCAAGGTGGCTGCTACACGGCAGCGGGCCGCCACGGTGAAGGACGGGGCCTCCCAGGGTGGAGGGGAGGGTGGAGCAGACGAGTTGAACAGGGAGAAGACAGACGTGTTCTGTGAAGGACCAGCAGGTGTGGACGTCCACAGAGACAGGTTTCCCGTCATCCTGGGACACAGAGACACAGCTGATTAAATGATGGACACAGAGCTGAAGACCCTCCATTCATCCATCCATTCATCGTCTACTGAGCTGTGTGTGTGTGTGGGGGGGGGGGCTGGAGCCAATCCCAGCTGACACTGGGTGAGGGCGGTTCACCCTGGACAGGTCACCAGTCCATACAGAAACAAACAACCTCCACACTCACATTCACACCTGTGGACACCTTAGAGTCACTAATGAGCCTAATGAGCTGGTCTCTGTGCTGCAGGAGGAAGGTCTGATTGTAAAGTGTTAAACCCATCAACATTTATTAATGAGTTACAACAAGGCTCCAAGGGTCTTATTGTAAAGTGGCACCAGGCTAGTTTAGCTAGCTATATATAGCTTCTACTTCATCTCATAATCTGGTAAAATAAAAAAAAAATAAAAAAATTACTTAAAATGGAGGGGGGGGGGGGGGGGGGTCACAACAAATACTGATCTGATTTAGTTTTTTTCTGTTTCTCTGAGAATTAAATGAACTTGATTCAAAACCCTGAGTGCAGTATTAAACAGATATTGGTTCAGAGCACAGACTGAGAAAACACTGGATGCTAATGAAGTTTGTAAATAGCCCTCACATGCAGATAGACACCTGCTGCCCCCTGCTGGCCGAGCCACTGCACCTCCACATGTGTTGTTGCACCAAAGAACTCAGTGGATGCAGGGGATGAATGACTGTCCTCAGGTGTCCTGCTGTGATAAAGATGTCGCTCAGAGCTTCTTTGTTATCTTTATAAAAACAGTCTGAGTGAACACATCCTCTTCCTTCTGTCACTGTTTCCATATTTTCAGCTCCTTGTATCACACTGCATTACTCTGACACCGCGGGGGGGGTGGGGGGGTGACGCGCCCTCACCCCCCCACCGGTAAGCACAAGATGATCATGATTGAAACACTAAACCACATTTATTAGCAGACTTCAGAGTTTAGCCCTCGGACACGTGCAGCAGGTCTTACCTCGGGCTGCTGGAGGTCGGGTGAAGTGAGAAGAGGCTGAAATCCGGATCCTGATCGGAGCTGTCCAACGTGCTGAAGCATCACTCTCTGTCCTCCGGTTTCTCCCGCTCACCTCCCACTATCTGACCAATCAAACCTTCAACCGGATCAATGTGACGTTTTCAGTCGCATCCATCAGCAACCGCCTACAGTGAACCTGTTCCCCGTGAACAAGGAGCCCGCAACGATCAATACCGATTGGTTAATCACGGCGGGTGACGCGCGAGGTGTTGCAGCGGTAACCAGCTCCGTGACAGACACATCCTGGGGAATTTCCAGTCCGTCTTTGGGTTCTTTGTGCAGAGCTGAGGAGAGAGCAGCAGTATCAGAGAGCGGCTTCATTCAGGTCCAGTTTCCACCGCTTAACCTCAGCTCTGTGAGTGTCACTGTCTCTGTCCTCCTCATTGTTTCTAATGTGTGAGTGATAACGGCCCCTGACCTGAACATCCCTGAAAATGTGTGGGAAGATGTAAAAGCTGCTGTGTGAGCAGGACTGAGATATCTGAGAACATGAAGGGATCCACAGGAAGAAGCTGAACAGTCCTCAGGAACAGAGACTCTGAGCTGCTCCACTAAGAGTTTACAGCTAATATCTGACAAATAGGGAGTAGTTATTACTACATTATTACATGTAGTTATTACTACATTATTACACAGGTACTCTGTAGTCATTACTACATTATTACATGAGTACTCAGTACTCATGTAATTATTACATTATTGTATGTAGTTATTACTACATTATTACACGAGTACTCAGTCGTCATTATTACATTATTGTATGTAGTTATGACCACATTATTACATGAGTACTCTGTAGTCATGACTACGTTGTTACATGTAGTTATTACATGTAGTTATTACTACATTATTACATGTGTACTCTGTAGTCATGACTACATTATTACATGAGTAATCTGTAGTCATCACTACGTTATTACATGTAATTATTACTACATTATTACATGTGTACACTGTAATCATTACCACATTATTATGTGAGTACTCTGTAGTCATTACTACATTGTTATATGAATGCTCAGTAGTTATTACTATACTATTACATGTAGTTATTACTACATTATTACATGAGTACCCTGTAGATATTGCTACATTATCACACAAGTAGTCTGTAGTCATTACTACATTATTACATGTTATTATTACGACATTATTATGAGTACTTCGTAGTTATTACAACACTGATAAGCGTACTCTAGTCATCACTACATTATTATATACTCTGCAGTCATTGCTACATTATCACATGTAGTTATTACTATATTATTACACGAGTAGTCAGGCGTTAACGTGTGTGCTCAGCAAAACATAATCCATGTAAAGATTAAGTTAAAAAAATACCAGCCCACTGACATGTTCATACTGATCAACAGTGTTTTATGTGTGATCCACTACAGTTACAGACAGAAGCATGACATTAATAACACCTTTTATACTCTAATGTGAAATCTGTATTGAATATAATAGTATATATATATTATAATTATTCTTATGAATGATTAACTGAAGATTGCAGTTATACATTTCAGCTGCTCTCTGTTGTCCAACTTTTTAAGAATTCAAATTGAACAAATGTCACTGAGGAAGCCTAAACCCAAAGCCTTAAATTAGCTGTAATGTGTTTACAGCAGTGACAGAGGAACCATCATTAACACTATCAAGGACCCAGAGTGATAATTAGATTCAACACAAATTAATGAAGGAATGTGCAACATCCTCCTGACATCAGCCAAAATAATGAGGGTCTTCATGTTTTGACACAGGTGCCTAATGAAGCCAGAACTATAGGTATAGGAGGAGGATAAAGCAGAGCACAAGTCAAGGTCTGTATCATCTGATGCTTTAGTTTTATTAACACAAACTAAACAACCCTGTCTTCTAAAAGTCATTTTCTATACAACTACACTGCAACAGTAAAGACGTTTTGTGGAGAAGAGAATTGCAAGAATTGACAGTTGAAAATATAATGGAACGTAATACAGTAGGAATCTCAGATTCAAATGTTCACCACTGTCAAAGAAATCACATACAACTGTTGTTTGACTGTCTTTGACAAGCTGCTGCACAGCTAATGCTAGATTAGCTTGTCTGCTGCTATTTTACCTAGCTTTTGTGGGGAGGCAACATTACCTTAAGATTAGTTAGCAAACTAGCAAACAACACTTCAAAAAGTAAACTCAGAAAACATTTTATGATATTTCATAATATCTAATTATATCGAGTTTAATAATATATCAAACTCTTCAAACTTAAATCATGTTTATTGTGAGTCTATGTAGATATTTTTCATGCTAGTTGTCAGTGCTAATGTTTTAGCTGTTAGCTGTAAGTTAAGCTAGTTAATGGCTACAAGAGTCTGGGTTAGTTGTAACAAAGATACACACATGACATGCACACACAACCACACACACACACACACGCACACACACACTAATCATTTTTAAAAGTCATTTATTGTTTTATTTATGTCATTATTTATGGTTGTAACATAAATCATCATAAACCTGGACTGTGATGTGAATTGTAATCTTTTATTCCTTGTGTTTGATACTAAACCAGACATCTTCTGTTTGTGTTGCAAAGATAACACCTACACTATTTAACAGCAGACATATGTGACAAGTTTGTATGAAATTTTGAACGCACTGGCTTAAAAGATACGGTAAGAAAATGTCAAAGATGTTACAATCATCCCCGGTCTCCTCTGAGGATTGTCACTGTTAGTAAGCCAACAGCAAAAGCCAGTAAGTCACCTGTATTGATAAATGTCACTAATAAAGTTTCTGTAGAACAATCTGTTAAGTCAGCAAATAGAAATGTTATTTTGGTCAGATGCTCTGCAGCTCTTCTCCAGGTCAGAGGTCAAGACACATCAACACTGTGCAGACTGTTACTACTATTTGACATAGTTGCCTTATTATTTTATGGTTTGTATTTAATATTATATATATATATATTTAACACCTTTAATAATATTTCTTTTTAATTGATAGTATTAATGAGCCTAAACAACAGTAAATAAATAGTAGTCTCATCCTGTAAGGGAAGTTCAAACATGTGAAGCCACTAGAGGGCTCAGTCTCCATGTGGTGGATATGAACAGCTGCTACCAGCAAGGTCTGCCTTCATTCATTGTACAGACAGTAACCCAGGATATTAACATGCCCATCATCACACTGTACCTCCAGGTGACAGTCCTACCTGCAGGTCCCGCTGCAGAAAAACACTGCTTTCATTTCCAAAAAAAAAAGGAAAAAATGAAAGAGCTGAATCTGATCCTGAAGCCACGTATGAATCACATGACTCACAGTTCACATACACAATGTGTCACTAGCAAAACAGGAAGTGAAATACCCAATGTTAAGTAGGTGATAAATTATTTAATATTTCAATATGCAAAGTAGGTCAGCAAGTCCTCTGGCATCTTATCAGTGATGACTCTATTGTCTCCTCACAGAGCAGTGACATGTTTTTTTATTATTTAAAAAAAGTTCTTCTTCTCTGTCTTTTAATGATGTTGTAACAACAGAGGAATTTGTTTACAGACATGACGTTAAAGCGGGAAACGTGTGTCCCAATAACCTGGTCACAGCTGTATACAGCTGCTGAGTTATCATCTGTCTCTGATTAAGATTATGTAGAGAGAATGGAGTCTTTCTTTGTCTGAACGTATCCTGTCACAGCTGCAGGGGGGGGGGGGTCCACAAGTCTGAGACCAATTTGTACCCCACCGCACATCGCCCTGCGTGGCTCTTTGTCATTTACATGCGTGCATACAACCCCCGTTAGAAACCCGGTGTAACATCAGGTTTCTCCGGTACAAAGGTAGGGACCCGGTTCGTCTGATCCCGGGCCTCCACAGTCCCTGACACCGGTTCAGTCCGGTGTCGCGGCTCCGTTAAATGTACGTTACAGAGGTGGTGAAGCCGCTAAACGGCCCGTTACCGAGTGGATTCTGACCCGCACATTGTCTCTTCAGCCCCGCTGGAGGTAACATGGCTCTCCATCCACACACAGACAACAACACTACAACCGGCCAATCACATCTCTCTGTCGGTCTCCGCCGCGGAAACCGACAACCAATCAGCTGCCTGAGAGCCGCAGCAATAAAGAGCGGAGGGCCAATCGGCTGTCTGTCTGGATCTGCTGGGGAAACAAACAGCCAATCAGCTTCCTGTCTGCGCTACACGGAGTGACTGCCTGGCCAATCAGCTCTCTGTCTGGCTGCACCGAGGGGGTGAGCGTCTGCCGAGGCCCAATCAGCGGCTCAGTGCTGCCTGCCGGTGCCGGGGACTGGTGGTGAGGAGCCGCTGCAGCGCGTCAGGACCGGACCGTGAACCCCGGAGACGGTACACACTGAGGCGAAAGGAGACACAGGTGAGTCCGAGGATGTGTGCGAGGCCTGGCTCTGGCCCCGAGATTGTTTTGAAATGGCAGCGGCGGGATTCGTGTGGCGGCAGGACGGCAAGTTGTTGTGTCGTTGTGCAGCCGGTCGATATGCTGATGTGCTGACAGACAATAGAGCGGCTTTGCTTCGCTATTTATTGATGCAGGCTGACATGTTGGCGACCAGCAGCCGTCGCCTCGAACGGTTCATTTACATTTAAAGGTCTGGGGTCGCGACAAGAAACATCTCCGGAGGTCTAAATCCTTCCCGGGGGTTTGTGTTTCGACAATAACCGAACTGTTAACGGAAGATGTCGGAATTACGTTGTGATGGGAACGTTGTGCGGAATGCCTCCAATCGGTTTCATTGTTTGATCCAGAGTCTCTAGGGGTTAACTCAGACTGGAGAAAGAGCCAGGCTTCCTCCAAATACTTGTAAATGCTCGTTTAAAGAGCGCCGGGACGAGACGAGGTGTTCCGACCGTTTTAATGGAGCTAAGCCGTGTGAAGTGGCCGATTTAACGGCGCTAGGAGGAGGCCGGAGCCGCTGATGGCTCTCAGCAATTAGGAAGAAAAATTCGAAATGCATCAGCCATTTACGTAGAGACTCAACTGGCTCCATATGCACCTAAATGGCTGCCTGGCGCCTGACAGCACAGCCAACATGTTAGTGTAAGGGCCAGGCTTTATTCAGGCCGAGGGCTGATTGTTTCCTGAGCGGCGGATTAACGGAGGTAGATGTCTGGATGACGTTAGAGACCAAACGGGAATCAATATTTAATGTGTGCTGCCTATTATTCTGCAGTATACAGGAGCTCGTTTCGTGTCTGCTGCTGCACTGCTCCTCCAGATTTACATGAGTCACAGGCAGATGGACCCACATATGACTGCTATCCCTGACTGGGTCCAGTGTGTCCAGACCCAGGGATGGAGAGTGGTTCATGAGGTGAGGAGAGAAGGATATTATAGTCAAATGATGTCTGTGTTACCTTCCTCCATTACAAGACTTTTTTTTTTTTCATCTGGATGTTGTGTAGTTGTGTCAGACACAGCAGCTGTAGACGAGGACGACCCGGGTGATAGAAGACAGACAGGTAGACGGACAGACAGACAGACAGGCAGACAGCAGGTTTACCTCTGTCGCTGTCCTCAGAGCGTCACGGTGAAGCAGCTGTTTGTCTTCCTGCGGGACGTGAAGTGAGCAGGGATGTAAAGTGGCCCCACCGCCTCTGGTTTCAGATAAAAGTTGGCAGACCTTGATGCACTCAGCCCTCCACTCACATAGTGATAGTGGGTCTGTATGAATGAAAGGTCCTTGCTGTTGAAGAGTGTGAATGAACTGTAGTATTCTCAATGATGGAGTCCTTCCTCTTCCTATTTCCAGCTCTGAGTCCCCTGGCAGCCCCAGCAGCATACAGATGAGCCTACCGTGCTGTTATGACAGTGTTTTACAGCACCTACAGAGGACCGGAGAGTTTTTATCAATATACAGTCGACTCAGTGGTTTTAAGCATCATCAACTGGTCCTGATAGAGACGTCAGAGGTTCATGAACACAGCGTGTATGTCAGGACATTGATATCATTACTCCTGACATCCTGTTGTTCTGTTATCCGTCTAATTAAACTTTATTAAACCACTGTGTCTCATTCAGTCAGGGAATCAAACCTCAGTATAAATCAGCTGATATTAATTTTAAAACACAAACACTCATTTCTGATAAGGAATCATTAAGGAATTGCGACCAAGACATGAAATTAAACATATTAGTGGTGGGTGGGATTTATAGTTTTCGCTAAAATATTGTTGAACTCAGCCGCTGACAGGCCGAGACACAGTCATACACATGTTTCTGTAATGAACTAATATCAGTAGAGATCAGTCAGATTTTCCTGATTTGAAATCATGTTGGTGATCACACTGTCAGACCGCCACACAGAGGGGGCCGCAAGACTGACAGTGTGCTGGCCCAACGGGACTCGGTATACCTGATGGCTGACGACTGTGATTGTTCTGGTTCTAACGGCGTTATCGAGGACGGGTCGCGGGACACGCCACGACTGCTGGGGGGGGTCAAGAAAGCGGTTTAACCGTCTGATGTTGGTGGTGACCTTCCCAACCATCATATCTAGGTTTCCAATAATGCTCAGGCCCGGCAGGGGGTCAACTTCCCTCAACATAAATCTCACAAACAACTCACAAATTCATACTTTGGATTCTTTTTTCTTTTTTTTAAAGGCTCAGTAGTTTTCATCAAACCCCCCTCAGACAGAAGGAAATAGCGCATTTGTTCAGGACTATTTTCAGCAGCGGATTAATCCACATTTGGTTCTGCAGTGAGTATTTGTGGAAGCAGAATAGTGTGTGAGGGACGGCGTCAAAATAAACTACAGAGTGTGTGTGGGGGGTGATGAAGGACCATGTGACACTCACTGATATGTTGTTGAAACAATGGAGGAGTGAGTGCAGTACATTTATAGTTGGCTTGCAGGTTGACATTTTTATAAAAACATTTATAGGTATCATTAGGCACCATCACACTGTTGATTATATTTACAGGGAGCAGCAGCTTTACAGTTTTCATCCCAGCCAATCAGAGCAGTCGGCAGGTGGCGTCACTCAGGTTGTTGTTGGAGCTTATTAATCACTGAGGTGTGGAGAATGTTTAACTTCTGGCTGTTCATTGTGGACCAGGTCTGACACTCAGCTGAGGTTCAGCTAAACAAGTGTCTGGCATGTTGGACACAATCAGCTGATCCAGGTGGACAGCACGTTGTCACACACAGGACAGCGGCTGACAGTGCACAACACAGGTGCACAGTTTATCCATTTACACCTGGGGCCGGTTTCACTAAGACATGTCAGACTGGTCTGCAGTGTTAGGCCAGACATAACTTTGCTCATAGATCAGTCTGATGTTGGTCAGAACATTTCACACACGTAAAGACAGACTAATTTTAATCCGATACATTAGCCCCGAGCTAACTCAGGCCTTAAACCAATGTTACCATGGTAACAATCAATGACGCCTCCGCTGACCAGCCAAAAACAGGAAAACATGGCTCATAATTTGACCAATGAGAAGAGAGAGTTTTTAGAGACCACAGCTTTTTTCTTTTCATTGTTTCACTTTCACTGAATTTCCAAAGTAAAACGTCCTTGTAACTGTAGATTTCTTCCAAAAGACAAACAGTTTCTGCTGAGGGCCAAATGGAGCTGAGTGGTCGGATACAGTTCCTCGGTCGGCCATTGTTTTTATTTTTGAAAACCCAGAATTCATTGTACCGCAGTCTGGCTTAAGATAGTCAAGAACTAAACGTATGAATTCAGACTCAGTCTATCTGAAGTCTGACTGTTTGTTCTAAGACACAGTGAGATACTGTCTCTGTGAAACCAGCCCCTGGTTGTATATACTGCACACAGGTGTGCACCAGGTTTGAAGCTAATGGTTTCATCAAATTTCAGAGGTGAACGTAATGGTGGGAGAAACATGCACCTGTTTGTGTTTTATTGTTATAAATTGTCATATTTTATGAACAAAATGTCCCAGAAGTAGTTTTAAAAACAAAAAAGAGAACGTTGTTTATGGTTTGTTTTCTGTCTGAGTCAGGCGCACTGATCGGCCAGGTGTGTGACGTTTTCCTCTGTCAGCTTTCACGTCAACAGTTGAGCGCCACACGCCGTTTGTACAGGAAACACCAGACACAAGTCAGTTGTTGGAGAGCGGGAGGCCGTGGGACGCAGCTCGGAGGAGGCTGTGATGGACATTCAGAGGTTCATTTAGAAAACTACGTGACACGTGAAGGTCACATGACGCACTGTGGGATCCAGATCATTTCAAGCATTTAGAGCTCTTAAAGATGTCTGATGTTGACTGTGAAATGTTGATTTCATAGGAGAAGAGTGAAGTCATAGAGCCATCGAGTCGTTTGCTGTGTGGTTGTTGTTAAATGGTGATGGAGGAAAATGCAAAGCACAGAAAGAGGTCTTTGAAATGTGTGTGAATATCAGATTCATTTAAATCACAAATTAACATCCATACTCTCATAAAGAAAAAAAGCATCGAAATCATTGTAATCTGTGTTTCCAGCTGGTTCGTGGTGACTGGGAGGAAGGAACCTGTAGATGATAATCTACATGTTGGCTGTGTGTGCTGATTGAGCAGGTCAGTTAAAGTCAGAGAGGCTTCCTCATGAAGGTCTACACCTGGCCCTGAGACCTGACACCTGAGCCTGATAGGAACCTGGGGTAGTGATATGTTCAGGGCCTATTTTCCAAATACTGGTCAGCTTGGTTCTCCCAGGTGTTCAGGTGTTGTCCCACATTTCTAATACATGTAAACAGATGAGAAGCTTCCTTCAGTAGGTATATTTGTTGTCTGTATTGCCGTGTTTGAACCAGGAAGTACCACTGTTGTTTCTCGTTTTTCTTCCTGTTTACAGCGGCACGCACCTGCCCAGTGTACGTACACATACAGTATATATGTGATGTGTGTTTTCAGGTGTCCGAGATTGTTTTCATCTTCAAATAAAAACTCATTAGTGTGGACGTAAAAGTTTTTATACTAGTTGGCAGACAGAACCAAGTGATCTATCTCACGACTCATTAACAGCCATGTGTTCAGGCTACAATGTGCTTCCCATTAACTTCAGCCTCGACTGTCGTAGCAGTCACCGCCTGGAGTCAGCTCCTGTCAGCTGGAGGAGGAAGTCATGGGGAAAATCTGACGCTGTAAAATGGAGGATCCATTCTGAACAAAGCTAACCCCCCCCGTCAGAACCATCACCGGCTCAACCTTGGCCCGGTGCCGGTCCGGTTCATGCAGGAGAACCGGTGGGCGTGACCCTTTGTGCATGAAGACTGCCACATAGTGAAAGATGATTTGTGAGGGAAGAGCCTCCACTCTGAGTGTTTCTGTAGTTCCACCTCCTCCAGCAGAGGGAGTCACCTCCGTCGTTCAATCATATCAGATCTTAAGTTATAATTTACACC